CAGTTTCCGCTGCTGGGGGTGGGGGGAGGGCTGTGGCTGGGGGACAGAGGAGCAGCCGGGGGAGGACCCGATGGCTGCAGTGTGGTCTTCCCCAGTGTCACTGCCCAGCCCGCAACTGCGCCTGCGGGTCACCTCCACCGGGGAGCCTATCAGAGGGCCATGGCTGCCTCCGGACGGGACAGGGGGCTGCCCGGGTGTGGATGGCCAGGTCCCTTGGCCCATCCTTCCTTCTGCGCCACAGCCACCACACTTTCAAGACAGGCAGATGTAGCCCTCTCTCTTGCTAACGGGAAGGGAGGCCTCCGGTGTAAACCAGAAATGAAGTTGAAAATGTACATATAAACATGCCCGAATGAATGGGGAGGCCTGTCCCTGCCTGCTGAGCCACATTGCCACACGGGTCGGGCTCGGCTCCCCAGGCAGCGTCCCAGCTGCGCGGACAGGCCTCCAGGCTGCCTTCCCGGCGCCTCGGCCTGCCCGTCCATGAAACGGCCATGGGTGCACCCGCCTGCGGGTCACGGGCTGCAGAGAGCTACGCGCGCTCGGCCGTGCCGAGGGCCCTCTCCTGTGGTGAAAGGCCTTTCCATGGTGGCTCTGGCAGGTTACCTTTGGACCAGGAGCCCCAGCTCCCCTCAAGAGGACCGTGTCGCCCCCACTTGCAGGCAAACAGATCGACCCAGAGAGGGCCATGACTGCCAAGGTCGCCCAGCAGGTGTGGAAGGAGCTTGGACGTGGGCTCAGAACCTCGGGGCCGTGTGCCGGGTCTGGCTCGCCTGGGCCCTGGGCTTGGGCAGCTGTGCTCGTGCGGACCCCAGGGTGCTTGTCGAAATGCATTCTCTCACATCCGCCCCGGGACCAGGGTATGGGTCCGGACCAGGGTGCCAGTGGCACTTCTTTGAGAAGCCCTGGTCTGTGCTGGCCCGAGGGCCTGGGAAGACGGGCGAGGAGGAGTTAGACCCCGTGGCTGGCTGCCTCTGAGCAGGGCAGGAGACACAGGCCCCTGGGGTCACCTGGAATCTGCAGGAAAGGAGTCAAATCAAACGCCTCTGAGTTCTGTCAGAGGAGCCCGTGCACTCCGGCCCAGGAACGGCCCTGCACTGACAGGCCTGGGGTGGGGTGACTCCAGCCCCCTCCCCAAATCCCGCACCTGTCTAAGTGCAAGTCTCTGTAGACCGAGTGACATGGACAGTGCGGTGGAGGCGCAGGTCACCCAGGAAGTCTGGAGTCCCAGGGGAGACCTCTGTCGTCCGCAGAGGCCAGGGGAAGCGGCAGCCGGAGGGGCAGCAGAGAGGCTCCCCAGCCCCCGCCCCATCCGGGAGGGGGAAGCCACCTTCCCATCAGTCACCCCGACAGGACAGCATGGTGAGGACTGTAATTTCTCCAGCTGCAGCTTCAGGGGGCGGGAAGAGGCCCATTGCTCATGAACCGTTGGGTGACCAATTGCCTGGCCATCCAGGGTGTCCGGATGGAGTGGGGCGGAAGGGGCTGGGCTGCGGGCGGAGGCGGGGGGGCGGGGGCTTGGCTCTGGCCCCTGAGGATCTGAATCACGGGGCAACGTGGCTCGGGGCTGGAGGCTGGGCAGGGTACCAGGGCTGGATTCTGGGAGTAGAACCCAGGACAAATCGCCCAACTCTCTGGGCCTTAGTTCCTGTCCTGGAAGCTGGTGATGGCCGAGCGGGGAACTCCTGCGGGTGCCTTGGGCGTGGTTTCAGAGCCCACGGGGGGAACTTCACCCAGCAAGCACTTGCTGGAAACTGGCTCAGCCTGGGGCAGGCCAAGGATCTGGGGGACTCAACAGAAAGCCATGGGCATCATAGGGCAGGGAGCCGGGCAGGACACGGAGGGAGCTGGGCAGGGCACAGAGGGAGGCAGCCCTCTCTCTTGGGGACACTGACCAGCTACAAGGCCTTGAACAAGTCACCCTCTCTGAGTGCCATCACTACTGACAGGCAATATCCTGATCAACACCCCACCCACCTCCAAGTTCTGTGGAGCCCCTTAAGTTTGAACGCCATGGGGGTGGGGGTTCCACAAACGCCCAGGGCCACCAGACCGCAGGCAGGAGAGAAGCTGGTTTGAATCCTGCTTCCCAGTAGTCGTGTGGCCTCAGAGGAGAGACTGACCTCACAGGGCCTCACTGGCTCATCCATCCTGAGATGGGAGCAGTGGCAGCCCCGGGACGGGCACTAGGGGACGGAGTGAGAGCGTGGCACAAGCTGGCAACCCCCCAGCCCCCACCGGTAGCCCAGCAGCCGCGCCCTCACCTGGATGAGGCGGCTCTGCTCGCTCTGCAGGGCGCTGAGCTCCTGGCCCAGCAGGCCGTGCCCCTTGTGCAGCCCGGCGCACTCCGCCTGCAGCTCCGAGGCCCGGGCCAGCAGCCGGGGCAGCTGCTCGGCCAGCGTGTCCAGCAGCTCCTGCTCCTGCTCTGCTGCGGCCCGTGTGGCCTGCTGCTCTGCCAGCGCTTGCAGCACAGAGGCCTGGGCGCCTTCCAGGCGGGCGAAGCCGTCCGCGAGGTCCGGGCAGCGTGGGTCGATGAGGATGCTGAGGCGCGAGCTGTCAGCTCTGTCCACGGTGACCAGGGCACTGTTGGCGCCGGCAGGCCCAGTGGACTATGGGCGGGGCCGCCGTGCCCGGGGCATGGGTGTGGTTCAGGAAGAGCACAGCGCCGGTGAGTGCCCCAGCCAGCAGCACCGCCAGCGACAGCAACACCGTGCACAGCCCTTAGCTACAGCTCGGCCGCTGCAGGACAGACAGGCCCGGGACACACGGACAGACAGGCAGACGGGAGAGAGAAGGGCCAAGCGTTAGATGCAGACCAGGACCCCAGTTCTGCCCAGCGGGGCTTCACGACGCCAGGCGAGGCCCAGGGGACACTGTCGCTGGAGGAAGGGTGCCATACAGAGGGACGGAGTCCTGGAAGGGAGACGGGGACACCAGGTAGACAGAGCGAGTGAGAGGGCGAGAGATGCAGAGACAGATGGAGAGACAGACGGATACAGGGAAACAGACGGAGAGGATGGAAAGGGGAGACTAAGGCAGAGACGAGGAGACGGAAGGGCGTACGGTGCCTGTCCTCACGTCGGCCTGCCCTGCCCCCCTGCACAGGGTGGCCGGGGAGGGCTGGAGCTGCAG